GTGTGTGTGTGTGTGTGTGTGTGTGTGTGTGTGTGGGTGTGTGTGTGTGTGTGTGTGTGTGTATGTGAGATTGTGTTTGTGTGTGTGTGTGTGTGTGCAGGGCGATCACAGCCCTGGAGAGCATGTTGAGTGGGGTTGGAGGGGTAACCAGACTAGATTTTTGGACGCTGTGCTGTATGGACCAGATGGTGCACTATACTCCAGTCTGGCAGTCCAACTGCTCACTGTACACCACGTATAAACATACGTGCATGCACAAACACATATGCACGAGCAGTAGTACACACACACCAACAATTTTGCTCTTACTGTCTCTGTCAGAACAGAGAGTTCCTGTTCAGGAGGACTGGATTCCCACGATACACAGATTTGCCAGATAGACAAACACTACTCCCAGATGAAAGACACACACACATGCACACACATCTTTCTGTTTTTTACTTGCCCCCTGCATTGTAGTTTGACTTTTTTTTTCTCTTAATACACCACTGAAAAAATGTAAACTACAATCATTTTAACTTTCTGTTATCTTTCCCCCTCTCCTTTCTTTAGGCCATTGTTTATGAGGGCCAGGACAAAAATCCAGAGATGTGTCGGGTGCTGCTGACCCATGAGATCATGTGCAGGTAAAACGCAAAGCATTTTATACCACATTTCTCACTCCGAAGATGTCTTTGTTGGTGTAAAGAGGGGGCAAGGACATGAGGAGCGCTGCTAAATTGCAATAGAAATCTTATCATTTTCCTCAAAGTGGGTTGGGGAGACGGGCCCTGGCCTATTTCTGTTGTGCGTGTATGTGTCGGTGTGTATGTGCGCGTGTGCATCCCTCTCATGTTCAGCTAATTAGGACAAGGAAAAGCTCATTACTCAAACCCATCCTCCTCAGTTTGTGTAATACATGCAGTTTGCTGTGTCCTGACAGTGAGCTATGTGCAGAGGGAGACAGACTCAAATTACACATAAAATACAGACACACACACACTCAGTCAAAAGTAGTAAGCTGGGAGGACTCTCACAGTCCCGTTGCATGCATTCACAATCAATAAAGGCATCACACAGCGTGCGATTGTCTCTTACAAAACCAGCCATCTAGAAGAACATGTAAGAGTTGCATGGAGAAAAATGGCTAGTGGCAAAGTGTAGACACTTCCTGGTTATCACACAAGGCAATTTAGACCACTTGTTTTCATATGCTGCAGGAAACGGTCGAGATCAGAAATCTGATCTGGCTCTCCAGTCCTCTTGTCCTGGGGGACTTGAGAAAGCAGGGGGAGGGTCAGTCTCTCTCCAGCCTTCTCTCACTTGCTTCGATGTCTTTCTTCATCTCCTCCCACACACACACACAGATACAGTAGATGCACACATGTAGTCAGACACAGGTACACACAGACATGCAAAGGCTCAGGTGAGCAGGCAAGAGAGGGAAAGGTAGACGCAATGATACTTTTTGGGGGGGAATACAGAAGGGGGGTGTCGACGACACACAACACGCTGTTACATAGCGGTGCAGTCAAATGATTCAGAAAGGACTCGTCACATCAGTATGCAACCCCCTTCTACCCGGCATGCACTACTCTCCAGGTCCAGTGGGACCACTCTGTGACCCACTTCTGAGAGAGAGAAAGAACAAGCGAGAGAGAGAGGGAGAGAGGCGGGATAGAGGGAGGGGACGAGCACTGAGGAAAAATAGAGAACATAAGATGTCTGGTTTTGTGATGTCTGACAGAAATGGAGCTAACCTGAGCCCTGGAGGCTAATTCAAGTTTTTATCCAGTCCCATTCAAGCTCGCCGCTTTTCCCGTTCTCCTCCAAATTTTGCCTAAAAATCGCCCGGCTGATCTCGCCTACTGTAGTGCAAAAGCCCCAGTCTTACTTTGACAAGCTAAACAGAAATCCAACCCATGCTTCCTCTTGAACTCCACAAAAGTCTCACGCCCCCTTTACTCCCACATCCCTCTCCTATATGCTCATCTGCTTTCTTCTCCCCTTAATGCTGCACCTTATCTTGCTCTCGCTGCTGTTTGCATCCAGGTGACTAACCCCCCATCCTTTTTTTTTGTCTCATCCCCATCCCCTGCAGTCGATGCTGCGATAAGAAGAGTTGTGGCAACAGGAACGAGACCCCATCAGACCCTGTCATCATCGACAGGTAAGCAAACTTTGCCCTTTGACCCCGGCACGATGATGCGCTGTCACCGCAAACACAAGTGCAGCAGGTATAACTGTGGAGGGGTGTGTGAAACAAGCGCTGTGGGCCAAGTACAGGAGCAGTAAATAATGGCAGAACATACAAAGCATGACGAGAAGCCATTTCAATTTTTAGCGAAAGAAAGCAGTTGGAAGGGGTCTTTGACATGTGATTTGGCTGAGAAATTGCAACCTGCAGGCCTAATAAAGCAGCCACAGGTTGTTTTCTGGGGGTTTTTGAGCAGCCATAATTGTCTGTGTAAGCAGAAAGTGTGAAACGGCAGTAAATTATATTCCAGCTGTGTGTTTGTGTTAGTGTGTTTGCGTGCGTGAAGTGGAGGAGCAATCACGGAGCAGTCGAGCTCTGCTTCAAGTGTGGTCAAACAGCGTTTGTGTGGTCGTGCTGATGACTTAGCTGATGAGCAGTTAGGGTTACAGCTACTACGCTCTGGTGTGTGTATTTCTGTGTATAAATCTCACTCGTGGATGGCTATTGTTAGCTGGGTTGTTTTTTTTACACACTCACAGTCTTTTGCCTTTCTTCTGCTGTCATAAACTACCTCTGACTGATGCAGCAGCTTGCAGGATTTATAGTCAGAGAGATTTACTGTCCGGCCTCTGCCATGTGTGTGCGTGTGGCACGCGGGAGGACGAGGGAAGGTATTTTGCTCGTACTCGAGCTGTTCTTGTTCGTGCAGATTTAAGGCGGTTCTGATCAGGACTTAAAGAGAGCTGAAGAGACTTTCCATGAAGGAATTTAGAATGTATTTTCTGATATTCAACTATGTCCTAGCCACTGCGTCATTGGGTAAAATGAGGCAGATTGTAGTCTATCTGATGTCTGATTTGAATTTGTCACATTTGAGTGTATTTGTGTGAGTGTTAATGAGGCAGTGACCTGTGCTATCTGATGAACACAGCTGTCCCGTTCTCACTGCTGCTCTGTGGAAAGCTACTTTTTTACCTGTGCGAGTGTGTGTGTACATATATATATATATATATATAAATATATATATTTATGTGTGTTCAAGTTTGTGTGTGTGCATGCGCCACCCTTGTTCCGCTCCACTGAAGCAGAAGGCCTCACCTCAGCGCTCCCTGAGACAGCTGCACCCCACCACGTGGCCTCAGACAACACGCCTGCCCATCACTCTGTGCCATATTTCTGATTTTTGTTTTTCATGTGTGCATACTTGTTGAATTTCTCATCTGCGCGCTCCGTTGCTCCGTCTTCACGGATGCCATGTGAAAACTTTTTCTTTGGGTTTGCCGCGGTTTGAGCACGACCAGCCTTAAGTGAAGCGGCCTGATCCTCCCGCCAACAGCTTTTCCAACACTGAGCATGTGTTGTGGTCGCTCGCTGGCGGTATTCCCCCGACGCCTGATGGCTCAGGTGTGAGGGCAGCATTAACGAACAACAAATTAGAACAGGGGGAGAGAAAACAACAGCAATATCTCTGTTTTCCTCTCCAGCGAGCACTCTTTCTGGACAGCAAAATAGGTCAGGTGAGAGGAGAGCAGTTAGGAAAGGTTGGGGGGGTAGCTAGTTTTTAAAAGAGGGGGGGGGGGCAAAGGGGATTAAGCAGAGGAGGGTTTATACGTTTGCTCATTTAGTACCAATATATTCTTGGCAATTGTAATAATCAGGGATTCATAAACAAACAAACAACTGTGAGGCTGAAACTGACTCAATTACCATGAGCTCCCCTCCTTCAAATTCATAAAGAAATACCATCAGCAGCCCCTCTCCACCCTTGAAGTTATTTAGTTCGTTAAATAAGGGCTCGTTAGCCCTCTGCTGTTTCTCAGAGATGATTAGATTTTACAGCCCTAATTAGCTGGGCTAGCTCTAACTCTTCTGGAAGAGTAATGGGTCTGATTGCCTAATTAGCTCTCTCTCGTTAAGATTGGAGAAACAGGCCACTGCAGCAAAACCACGGGAATGAGGAAAAATAAAGTCAGCTAATGAGAAACTTATTTGATTGTTAGGAGAACAAATCTGGTACAGTGTGGATTGGCAACGCTTTTGGGTACTGTACTCGCTCACCGGGAGAGTCTCAGCCCTTTCTTTATCTCGTCCCCACCCACCCCCTCTGTTGAAAAGAGAATTTGTTTGGGCTTTAAAGCATCTACGAGGAGCAATATGCTTCAGATGTTTTGTTAAGAAGCGTATTTGTTTAGGCAGGAGTCGCTTTAACGCGACGCCAATCTGTACCGCTTTCTTGGCTGTTTTGATTTAGGACTATCGTGGCTCGCGTTGTCATCTCTCTCTCTGCTGTCTGATGTGGATCAGCGCTGAGGAAGGAGAAGAAGAAAGCAACTCGTGCCATATTTTATGTATTTAACCTCAGTAGCAGCGAGTTCTTGGAAATTCAGTCAGACCTTGACATGACACATTGAGTCTGTGCTTGACACTGGGCAGGAGAAGCATCTGAAAGGTGTGATGCTCCTGTGCTTCTGCTCCCCAGGGAAACATGTGTGGTCCACTTTAGCCTCTTACAGAAGCAGGATAATATGAGGGGGAGCCCTTAACCCCTAAACCTCCACTTCCACTTCTCCCCATCACTCTCGGTTAGCATGGGGTTAATCGTATTCAGCCACAGTGTATGATCGCTCTATCACGTGCCCTGATGGGCCCCAAATCACAAACACATTTCCCTCTCACCCATGTAAAGCTTTTTTTCTCTCCCTCCCTCTCTCTGAGTCTTATGTTTGTCTTCTCACTGAACTATTTTAGTATATGCACTTGGTATAATTGTGGACAAATGTGTCACCCTATTTGCAGTGGAGGGGGTATGGCAATCCCTCCAGCACCATGTGTCCTCTCCTGCCTCTTACCACCTGTGTCCTGTAGCCCTTTCCTGCTCATCCAGCTCCCATAGGCCTGCTGCAGGGTGTCCCCGAGGCTGGGAGAGTCTCTCTGGAGGGGTGGGATAGAAACACTCTGTGACCAGCGATAAGAATCCACTGGTTATCATGCGTAGCCCGCAATCCCTCTTCCGTTTGCAATGCCAGGAGGGGCACAAAGCGGTGTCAAGTTTACATGTACAGACAATGTTATTTCAGGTTTATTGCTGTTTTTTCTTTTCTTTTTTTGAGGGTGTGTTGGTGTGTTTGCCTTTGCACACACTCCTGCAGCCCGCTGTTGATGTGGCCCATTTCCTCGCATGCGTGTCTGTGCTTGTGTATCCGCATCAGTGTTGGTTATTTCCCCAGGAGCAAGTGTGTGTTTTGATAGAGGCCATTTCCTGACAAGTGTGTGTGTGTCTTGAGTGAAGAATGTCGGGCAGGAAGTGCTCCTCCCGGGGAGGGTGATGTCATGGCCGACAGCTTCCTGTTCTCTGAGCCAGTGGAACAGGCTGACTCCTCAGCTTCACGGTGGGTAGTTAGCACTTGTGAACCAGGTTTTGGTTCACCTATCAGCTGTGTCGGGTCTACACCTTTGCTTAAAATAAAACACAAATAAACATCGGGTCAGCGTTTTTTTAAACACATCATTTTTCCAGGCTCATGTATGGCTAGTTTATCTCAGGTCCCTCTCTTGCAAGCAGGGAACCCCCTTATTGTTTTGGTTGTTATGTTTGGATGCACTTCCTGGGGTGAGAGGTCATGTGTTGCCTTGGCTGGGCTAACGTGCACTAGTGAATAATGTATGTCATTGACTTTATGTCAGCCCTGCCAGCCCCCCAAGCAGAGCCCACCCATGTTTAATTCATCCATCTCATTTGTGTGTGTGTGTGTGTGTGTGTGTGCGTGTGCCTGCAAATATGTGTGTGTGTGTGTGTCATTTAGAGGCCCAGTCTGCACCTGTCCAGCCATTAGCCCCCTTCTCATTTGCATTTGATGCTAATGCGGTTTACTGGCAGTGCCTTCCGTCCCCGTAGCTTAGTTTCATTTTCATATCCATGACTGTGTTAGTGAGAAGGTGAAGGCTCACACTTGCACCGCAGTGATCCTCTCACTGTACACGCTGACACCTGAAGGTCTTTATCATTTGCTTTTCTTTTCCACATCTTGGGTCAGTTTTATTTAATGCAAGATTGTGATTCTTTTTTTCTTTCCCTTTTTTTTCTCACAGCTGGTTTTCTGTTGTCCATCTCACCACCTATCAGTAGTTTGGCATTTCTCTAGGAGGGAAAGAGAAACTAGAAACACCCTGGGAGTGACACTTGCACGTTCAAGTTGTCTTGCACTGTCTCCTCAGCGACTTTTTTTGTTTCCTTCATAACTTTTATGATCTCGCCTTGGCTTGATTTGTTGCCTTTCTTTTTTTTCTTTTTTTTGGGGGGGGAGGGGGGGTAAATGTGCATTTTCTTTTTTGTGCAGTCTTAAGCAGGATGCTATGGGAGGCTTTGAAAAGTACTGGCCCTTAGCTGGATCTGGTTGTTTGAACAGGGCTCGGGGGCAAAGAGGCGAAGTTGCCGGCTCATCGATATGCAAGCAGAACTCCCCTACCTCAGGTGCTAACGGCCTTGCAGAGCTGCCTGAGCTGCCTCCAGCCCAAGTGCACATGCAGGCATGCGCATGCCCAGTTGCAAGGAATCCACAGGCGTTCAGAAATATAGCATGCACAGATGTACACTGACCTGCAGCTTTTTGCATCTGTTTGCTTGTGTTCTCCCCCCCCCCCTGCATTGGAGGAAAGCATGTCCCCAGGGTACGGGCAGCTACGCTGATTGACAGCAGGGAGTTTGGAGGTCGAGGAGCCTCTAAAACAGCGCTGCCACTTTCTCTCTCATCCAAACCTACAACCTCCCCCCAAAAGCTGTCTCACTTTTATTTGCGATAAATTACCACGCAATTCTCAGAGTTTATGCCTGGGAATTGTTCTGGGGGGGTGAGTTACTTCGTATCAAATTAACCCTGGATAAGTTCGTTTTGTGGAAAGGAAACAATTAGGTACATGTTGAACATATTATTTTATTAATGCTTTTTGTGGGCATGTGTGTGTTTGTGTGTTTT